TCAATCTTACTCACCATATCTGGTATGAGTATTCTGGTATGCAACCTCCATCTTTTTGCTTCCCTGTAATCCTTGCTGATGTTTTCTTCTTGCTGCTCCAGATTTAATTGCTTCAACAGATCCATTCTTTGTTCCAGGTGCTTCCCTTTCCACTGAAATTTCCACTGAAATTTCAGGAAAATAGGATAACCTCAACTGCATTTTATTCCATTCTTTTGTAGTACTGAAATGCATGGTTTGACTCCGCTTCTCTAATTGATAGTCTCTGGGCAAAGATCACTATAAATTTCAGCTGTGGTATCCCCATATTTCAATGATCTTCAAAGTTTCCTGATTTCTTTCATTAAAAGGTCTTTCTTTGAAAATAATAATAATAATAATAATAATAATGTATTTATACTCGCTCTTCAGCCAAAAGGCTATCAGAGTGGCTTACAAATGGATTAATGAGATGGTTCCCTGCCCTCAGGCTTACAATCTAAAAAGACAAGACACAAAAGGAGAAGGGAAAGGTGGTGGCAAAGGGGAATAAGTCCAGCAGATCTTCTCTCCATCTAAAGCCTGGACCAAGGCAGATGGACTGGAGGGACGGCCCTTCTTCTTGTTCAGGCTAGGCCCGATGGAGCCAGCCTGCCTTCTCTCCCTCAATGATGGTGGAGGGAGGGAGGGCCCTTCTTCTTTTTTCAGGCTAGGCCCAATGGAGAAGACTGCCTTCTCTCCCTCGATGATGATGGATGGAGGGAGGGCCTTTCTCTTGTTCAGGCTAGACCCAATGGAGCTGGCCTGCCTTCTCTCCCTCAATGATGGTGGATGGATCTTGTTACTCTTGTTAGTAAAAGCTTGTTACTCTCAAGATTACGTCTCTGGGAACCAGGCCTCTTTTTAAAGTTGTTGCTCTGTGTAGATGTTCCATTTCCTGTTCTTCCCAAGTAATTTGAGGAACAATACTTTGTAGCCATTTGAGAATTTCCTTCTTCAGGTTCCTTGGTGCTTTCATTGCCAATTCAGGAAAACCACAGATACGAAGGTTTTGTTTTGTTTGTTTTTTGCTGTGGTCCTGCAGGTCAATTATTTTTCATTCTTATTGGTCCAGTCTTGATGAATGTTCCAAAGTTATCTTCTGTTGAGCTTTTTGTTCTTCTTGCAGTGAGTTTGCCTTTCCCCCCTCTCTTTCAATTTCTTTTTTAATAATCTGAGTAGATTTATTAATTTCATCCATAATTTTATTAGTTATTGTCTCTGATAGTATTCCATTTTTAAAAAATGATTGTCTCTTTAAAAGCCTCATTGTTTTTGATTTTATTTTCTGTTAACACCTGCAAGACCCATGTTTTCATTTCATCCTCTTTGGTATCTCCATTGTATGGCTGGGTGCCTGAAGCTTTAGGCTTGGCACCAGCTTTTTGCATTGTATCAGTGGATCCAAATTTAGCTTTCTGCATTTCTGTATTATGAATCTCAAAATTCTCTTGTGAGTTTACTCTTCTTAAACATGCATACACTTTATCTGATGGATGTACAGATTGTCTCTGTTTGTTTCCGTTCTCTTTTTTGACTTTTGAACATCTGCCAACTTCTAATCAGTGTTATGTCTCAAACTGCTAGCATAAAGTTTATTATATTTTTCTCTCTGAGTTTGTTCTTTAATTAATATTTCAGTATTTCAATAATTCAAAGCCCACACAATCCAATACATTTATTTTTAACTGTTTTATTTTGATTTTGTTTTATAAATCTTAATTTCCAATCAGTTTAGCAGACAACCAGCCAGCGATTGTCGAAAACAAAAATGCCACTTATTTATTTTTTTCTTCTCATTAAATCTTTAATTACGCAGTTCCATTCTATTCTCCTCACATTCCAATTTGTTTATTTATAATTACTCATAGTCTTTTTTTCCATTTAGAAGAAATTATAAAGGTTTGGCTTTCAGGAGAATACGATCTCAACTTTTCACATCATCACTTATGGCTCCTCCCTCCTCACCTGAGATTTCTCAGCTGCTGTCTGAGAAGTGTGTTTGCCTGACAGCTTTCTGAGTGGAGCACACTCCCCTGATCCTGTATAGCTTGCCTGTTTCCAAAGTGGTGGTTCTCAACCCTTTGGTTTGCTGGATTGTTTGCACTTCAACTCCCAATGTGGCCAATAGTCAGGAATTCTGGGAGCAGAAGTCTACAAGATATGATGGACCACATGCAGAATGAGCATTAAAAGGACTACAGTGGTCTTGCCACATTCACTGGGGTTAGGGTGAAGGACCCTCGTGAATGTGGAAAAACTGCAAATAAACATTATTCTTTTTACCCAAGAGAGCACCTCTCTAGGAATCTCTAGGTCATCCAGTGCAACTCTATGGTCAACATCTACCAGAAGATGATGATAGAATCATGTTGGAAGACCTACAAATGGGTAGATAAGTGTTTTTTCTCGGAACTTCTAGGTTTCCCACCACAACTCTTTGGCCAGCTTCCAGCAGAATTGCACTGGAGGACTTAGGGGGGTTGCAGACTGCCAGAAATAGTGCAAATTGAGGCCACTTTAAGGGTTAGGGTTAGGGTTAGGGTTAGGGAATAATGGGAACTGTACTTTATTGTGGCACCAGAGCTCTCTGACAGAGAAGGCTCAATGTCTCAGAAAAAAAAAGCAACTATTCCCATGATTCTCTAGCACTAACCCTAACCCTAAATGTGGACTCAATTTGCACTATTTCTGGCAGTCTGCAACCCCTCTTCCTAGAGAGAACATTCTCAAAACCACAATTAATCAAATCCACAAATGTGGAGGGTCAACTGTACTTAAATTGCTTGGGCAGTTGGACAAGATGTGATTGGGTGTCTGTAGCAAAACAAGCATCTC